TTCAGCTTTTTAAATCACTGGAGATCTTAATAAGTGTACACGCAAAGATCTCCATAGTATATAATACTCATATTTATAAATATTGCCAAGCCTATTTGTTTTTATGATGATGGAATTATTCTTTCTTAATTTTATTAAGAGTAGGACCTGCTTGATTAGATTTGTGTCCATTTTTATTTGTGTTACTTTCATGTTTTATTTAAAAACATGTCTCCACTGGGATAAGTGGTGTAATTTGCCTTTAAAGATTAAAATAATTGAAGTCATGATTACTAGTGGCTTCTGTTCAGCAGTATGGAAAATAAAACGAATGAAGAAAAATATGGCACAGGAGGAAAAAAGCTTCGGCTTCAGCTATCTCTTGCCCTCAAAGCAAACGCTGTTTTCTGATAGTAAATGTGATGATCCCTGAGGTGTTTTGCCTGTTTCTCTTTCAAAGTGAGATAAAGAGGACTCGATTCGTCTTCCATCAGCTGGGGTGTTCTGCTGAACTTTCGTACAACTGGCTTGAGAGAGGCTCAGCAGGTCCAGCTACAGACTCTGTTGACTGGGCAGCTGTTTTTCTAAATCATGTTGCAGGTCTCTTGATCAAATACTATTTGGGCATCCGAAATAGGCTGAGGGCCAATTTTCAAGGCCATCCTGGTAGAAGAGCCTCCGTTTTCTTTCTTGTTGGTTTTCTTGAAGTGATGTTTCTATTTGTAATGGGGAATTCTGCAAGGAAGATGCTTTGTGAACCTCAGTGACTATGCAATTATAAGAGTAATGTTAAGATTTATGACCCTTTTCCATGAGAGTCTTTGTAAGATCTTTTACTCTTAATAGTAGAGTAGTTAGAGGCCACTACCTTGGAGAATGAAGCCTATTTGGGATGAAAAAAATTGCAGCCTTGGGATTCCTGTGGGCTTCGTATGCTCTGCACATCAGGAAGCTGAATGAGCTGCTTCCTTCGAGCTTTTTGACAGCACTTGCCTGCGTTGGCAGGCAATTTGTACCACTGTTTTGACTTCCAAGAAAAATGTCCAACTTTGCTCTTTTCAGTGATAAGAAACCATAAACTGGCCAAAAGGAACCAGTTGTGCAATGTCAATATTGATGCAGTGTGCCATTCGTTCGCCTACGGACACCGTTCTCTCCAGCACCTTTGCAGAGAGCGTCTTCCATCAGCGTTTTCAAGAAGTGGTTTCCAAAGTTTGTGAAGCCTTTTGTGGCAGAGGCCTTGAACACTTCTTCATTACTCTACAGCTCTTGTTTCATCCTTGTCTGCACGAAATCTGGGCTATTTGATCCATCTGAATTTGAGTAACCCTGTTGTACTGAGGCAGTTAGATCCATTTAGAGATCTCTAATACAGAAAGTAATGTGTTCTAGTGTAAAGCATCTTGTGTTAGATCAGCATAGTTTTGTCTTCCTTAAGTTGTACAAAGTGGTGAAAAATCATACTATAATTTTAAAGCTATGCAAGCTCTAAATTGGCATGTGAACCAGGCTTTTGTTTCGTGGGAGGTCTGGAAGGGATGTTTCCAAAGAGGCTCTTCTTTGGTTGATGATATAGTTAAGTCAACTGCTGTAATTATTTTGATTTTTTTTTTCCCTTCCTTTGTAGTGTTGAAATTGTAAAAAGTGATGTATGTTTTCCCCAACTGTCCTCTGCAAAAGTGCAAGGGAAGGACACGACAAATCTTGCAGTGCAGCCTGAAGATTTAAATACAAGTTAGTGATGTTAAAAAAAAAAAGTAGTACTTTTCTCTATTCCACAAGGATTTATTTTTTCATGTTGATCTTACAAAGGTGAAGAGCATTTTTTCAACTTCATCTTGCTTTGCACAAGCAAGTGTTGTTTCCATGTGCATGTTTCAGAAGCAACTATTTCTGTGGCCACAGTGGACCAGGGTGTGACAGATACCAGATAGCAAGAAGGGAGGTGATGTGGCACCTGAGTTTCAGATTCTCCACTCTCTCAGGATTTCCAAATTTTTCAGTAATGAAGGTGCTTTTGTGAGGTTTTGTTTTACTTCTCCCCCACCCCTCACGTGGCTAGTGCAGGAGACTGGCATGTTTTAGTGTGAGTCTGAAAGCTCTGCATGAGCCGGGCTTGGTGGCATGGGAGGGTCTTCAGGATCCACAAGCTCACAGTTTTCTTTCTTTCTTGATTGGACATCATGCTGATAAGTTCTTCTTCCCTGTATTTCTATCAAAAAAAAAAAAAATTGTGTAACAGCCAAAATAAGGACTGGTTTGTTGCTATACCTGAAAATCAGCTTTTACAGTCAAAAGTGAAGACTTTTAAAAACTCCCTTTAGATTAAACACAAAGGGTGTTTTTCCAGGAAGATAATTTTAAGCAGTAATTGGGGGGAAAAAAAGCATACAGTAATCGATTTGGGCTTTCCTGTATTCACAATGCGTTTCACAATTTTTAATGTTTTGAAATTTTTGCTTTGTATTGTATTTCCAGAGGAAAAATATTTAAAGGTTGTCTTACCATCCAGAGTGTTCCTTGTCTGTTGAATAGGGGGTTTATGTTGCAGTGGTGGTAAGTGGTGCATTTAGCATTAGTTTAAAAAAAAAACCCACCACACCAAAAGCCAAGCTGAATTAATCCAGTTTACAGTCTGTAGAAGATGATGCGTGTCAAATATGCTATGTAACTGGTTTTAGCAATGGTTTAGCTGCTATTGATACCTACACATTTCTAGATTAAATAGTTTTGTTTAACAGACTAGATTAAAAAATCCCTTCTGTTTCTTTTGTAAAGCTGGTTTTTGATGCTACTTTATCATTATCGTGTATCTTTAATTAGAGTGAAATATTTAGGATAAGATCAGGTTACCTAAAAGTGGAAGCTGTGAAAAGATGATGTACAGGAGTTATTTAGGGGAGTTTATCTAGGCTGAGAAAAGAACACTCTTTCTTTGAAAAGCTCTTCGGAAGATCTCCAGACCCTTTGGTTAGTGGTTCTGGAATAAGCACGAAATGCTGACAACGGAAAGCAAAACCATAATTGTGCTTATGTGACAGTGCCAAGTAATTTGAACATTTAAAGTCAGTCAGGCGCAGACCTCTTCATCCATATTACGTGACTCCTTTAAACATTTAAAGATGATTTCTCTTTTTGAAGCATAAAAATATCTTCAAATTATTCTGATATCTGGTAGGAATAGGAAGTATTAAAAGCCTTTCAGATTATTTTGGAAGCAGCAGACAGATTATTCTGAATTTGAAATGGGAAAATTTGCACAATCGTATTAAGAAGGTGGATTTTGCTTACCACAGAAACCATTTTATTAAGTGCTTTTCTGACAGATCTTTCTCATTGTTCTACCTAATTTAGTTTTTAACATGATGCAACCAAGAAATAAAATACTTCTACAGCTCTCGCATGTGTTTTGTCCACGCATGTTTTGATTCTCTTCAGAATATCTTTTCTTTTGCGTGCAATTAACATTGGTAATACTTGTAGTATGAATTTATGCAGTTCTAGCTGGAACCTTGGGGATTGAATAGCAGAAATTGGGAATTGGAAGTGTTGTATTGTAGCAGTTGTGTAACTTGCCTAAGTTGTTGCAGTCCAAAGCCTCCCAGATTTATCCATCATTATATACAATGTTTTGGTATATATAAATAATTATGGTTTATTATGTGGACCTGCAGCCTGGTATCTTGGGTTTGGGTACCTTATTCCTTACGTGCTGGAAGAAATAAGAAAAATTATTCTCTGTTTGCTCTTTTCACAGTGAAGGCTTCCATCATACCTGTTGTTTTCCCTTTTCCAAAGTGAAATAATAGAACTTAGCATGGAGTTTAGACTGGCCCAAGTATTTTTATCAGCTTCTAAACCAGAAGCTCATCTTTTGTCCCTTTCTCCAGAAGATGCTGTGCAGCGCAGATCTCAGTCCAGACACTTCCCTTTCCTCTTAATTTCCCTCTGTTGTGAGAAGTCTCTCCTACCTTTGAATTGCTTTTTTTTATTCACAAGAAGGTATTTTATGACAGCGTGGTTTTTTTTGTCAAGGGATTTTGATTAACAGCCTTTGTAATATTGTTATTTAATGTCCATTGAGGCAATTTCAACGTGTAGAAAATTCTTGTTAGCTGCATATTTCGCTGTGCAGCTGCTTTCATACACACTCCCAGTCCTTAGTGTTTCTTGCTTGGTTTGGAAATCTGGATAACTCAAGTCCATCACCACTTATTAGCAGGATGAAGCTGTAGTGTTCCTACCTATGTAGCTGGGGAAAAGCAAGCCCACTTTCTTCGTCGGGATTTTTGGTCCGTTTTTCCACCCATTTGCCATGTACGCTTTGAATCTTCCCGAAGAAAATACTAATTTATGTAATAGTGAAATATCCCTTTTTCTTTGAAAAACTCTATGCTGCTTCTTGTTTTTCTTTCTGTATGTGATTTTTGTTGTTGCTTAGGGAAAATCATTTGTTGTTCACAGTTAAAGAACCCTGTGAGCTCTTCAGTGTCATTGCACTGATCCTCCTTACATGAGTCCAACCACGCAGGGCTGCTGAGTCGGGTGGAACGAGGACTCCCGTCCTTAGGAGAGCTCCAGTCACAAATTTATGAGTAATAGGTCCTCTTGATTACAGACATACAGCGAGGTCACAACCTGTGCTTCAGCCAACGGCCATGGAAACCTTCCATGTAGCACAGGCTGCTTTTGTGCTGAGCTTCTATGCAGCCATCAATACTTCATGTAGCAAACCAGGAATATTTTCCTATTTTGCATTATTTGAATAGGATAAATAAATAGAGAAATCAAGTATAAAGTGCATAATTTTTTCTAGTTAATAGCAGGTTGTTTCAGCATGTCTTGTGTCACTTTATCTGAAAAAAATACAGAAGATTGTTTGTGTTTAGTTCGTACGCAGTTTTATTCCTAATCCATACCACTGTGTCTTATAAAACAATTCCTGTAGCAGTAAGTAGGTGTTTTCTCTTAGGTGTATTTTGATTTCCTAACCTTCCTTTGTCTCTACTGACATGACCCAGGTCCTGGTCAGCGAGGACTCCGACAGCGACGGCATTGTGGCCCACTTCCCCGCGCACGAGAAGCCAATTTGCTGCATGGCTTTTAACCCGAGCGGTAAGTTCTCTCCCCGTTTTAATGGGATAGCTGCAAACAAGGTGAAGAGAGGAAGATGCCATAGGTGTGTGTTCCGTGGCCTTGGAGAAGTCACAAATACCACTGGGATAGGTGCAAATATCTGCTCACTGCTACTAAGACTTTTGACCCGCTCTGTTGAGCGTGGAATGTGGCATGCACTGGTTAACTTGTCCTTTCTGGAAATTCCAAGCTTAAGCAGGTGTTATAGAGTGGTATACGTGAGAAGATTCAGTCTACCACTTCAGATGTAGCAGAAGTACTAAGGAATTATTTTCTTTTGGGTATCCTGCCAGCCCCACGTATCCAGATGTTCTGATCTGCAGGTATCCAGAGAATCAGCACATGTATTAAATTGTACCTCTCCATAAATATGAAAGTAAAATGAGTCATTTCACTGGCACTGTTTTTAGAGTAACTTACACTGCCGTTATGTGTGTTGTTGATGACGAGTTTACAGTTCTACCCTGTCTCTCTTCTGAGTGAAATCAACTGTAATCTGAAAATACTTTAAAGAAACTCCTCGGAAGTCTCTGGTCCTTTCCTTCCTCCGTAGAAATGAACAATGGCTGTGGGCAGCAGAGATGGCTACATATCTTGTCTGTTAATCTTTCTCATTTGCCAATTAACATGTTTATTATTCTATCTTTAGACAGCAAAAAAAAAATGTTTTGGTTGATTGCAGTAGTAGTCAGTGAAACGGCCAGTGAATCAACAGCTTCCACTTGCCTAAATTAACAGTTTCTAAATGTGGCAAGTGCCATGAAGATCTTGTGGATGAAGTCACATTTCAAAGAATAAAACTAAATGTATGTCACTTAACGTTTTCACTTTTAGTGACCAGTTGGTCCTGTTCTGACATCCCATCTGTTGTGTCAGAACTCTTTAATAGTGGTGTGCAGTTCACAGCATTTTTATTGGGAGTTTTTGACGTAGAAAACTGTATTCTCATCTGGCTGAATTTTCTTCTGGTACTTGAGATTTTTTTGTGGAACTCTGCATTTCACTGAAAATCAACTATGCTGATTCCAGGATAGTAATATTTTTACTTTGTGTTCTGGTAGAAAGATAATACCTAGAGTCGAGCAGTGCTAATTAAGTGAAACAAATGCAGCTGCTTAAATTAGAATGCTTTATAGATATGAATTGGCTTCTTAAGACAATTTGTATGATTGTATAAATGTAAGGGAAACAGAATATTTATGCAAAAGCAAATTAACTGACTTTTGAAATGGAAAGATATATTTGCATTTTATTGCATTACTTGTATTATAAGCAAGTTCTTTTGGTTTGCTCAGGTGCTAAAAGTACAGTCTGTTGTATGTGCTATAGCAGACTGTTACCTTACATCTAATGGTGCAGTAAGATGCTTCATGGCAAAACCACTTTTTCTAATTGTTATTATTTTTGACGGATTGCAAATTACGTGTATTATGAGGTATCTGCAGGAGGGATGATTCACAGCAAGGTATTGAATCCTACTGCATGTTCTGGGTACAGCAATATCAAAACAGTTGAAAACTATTACCTCAGCTGCTTACAGTATGAAAGCAGCACTTAACACAGGATTCTGTATGCTTTATTTCACATCAAGGCAGAATTTTGTTTGAAGCCAGTGTTGTAACATCATCTTAATCCATTATGTAGTGGTATATTGCCAATCAAGCTGATCTCATTACAGAGCAGAACAAAACAAGAGGTGGCTTTTGATACTGTCTTCATCTATTGAGTGGTTGTAGTGAAAAAACGTTTTGCTGTGCAGTGATGCTGCACGAGAACATAGCAACAGCAAACTTTTGCTATAAAGGCAAGCAGGTAACTCTGATCTGTTTCAGTGAACTATTTTATTCTCTATGGCTGATTAAATAGCTTAATTTCATCATGTCTTATCCCAAGGGCCTATGAGCTCCACAAATATTCAGGTCTGTAAAAACTTACAGAATTGTGTTTGAAAAAAAACCAACAAAACCAGCCTAAACCAAAGCCACCACTGACACTGGAAACCACTGAAGGTCAATGGATATGGAAGATGGATATATATGATTTTTGTGTAGTATACCAGTAGAACAGTGCCACAGCCACTTTAAGCTGTATTTTAGAGGTATCAGTTGCCAGGAAGATACATTTTTGGGGTTTTTGCTGTTCATGTTTTCAAACTGAACAAGAAGCTTACTAGGGAGAAGTTAATCGTGATAAAAGAGCACTACAGAATTCACGGGTATCGCGTCCTGGGAATAGCTCCTGGAAAGGGGTGATGTGTTGCTTCATTGTAGGATGATCAGAAAGCAATTCAATGGGAAGGAAAGAGACTCACTCAAGTCAGTGCATGGCAGTCATACTTTTCCCTAAATTTTCTTTTGGAAAGCAAGAAGAAATCCTTTACTGCGCTTAGTGTCCAAGTTACGTTCTTATAGGCCTGGCTGAAAGTCTGTTGCAAACAATGGCAGGACTCTTGCTGATGGGGAGCGTGCCTCTGTGTTGGTGTTGGGTTTTTTTGTTTTGTTTTGCTTTGTTTTTGGGGCTTTGGAGATGTTTTTTCTTCCCAGCAAGGTAAATAATCTATGTGGAGTTCTGAGCCGGGTTAGCTGGCAACGAGAGGTTGCTGAACGCGCAGCCTTTTCCATCAGCTGTGTTATAAGGCAAAATCATGAAAGAACAAGCAGGGGTGTTGCTGCATAGCATTTCCTTGTGCTGTGTAGACATTTCTATAGGGACTTTTGCTGGCATTAGATCTACTTTTTGTTTAAATTAAATCTATTGAATTTTTTCCTTTCCATTTTTGAAGCATTCAAAGAAGAAACTTGGCATACAGTTAGCTTTTTTTATATGAGAGGCTACTCTGAAAATCTGGTTGAATAATAAAATAACAAACTTGAAATATCATTTCTGAGTATATTTAGGGGGAACCATGGGTTGTTTTGTTTAATGCTGCCTTGCATGTCCCTGTATACAGGGACCCTCTTCCAGACCTTTATGTTAATAAAAGCTTGCTTATGAGTCAGTTGATTTTAGGGAGACTGTAAAAGTTTCAGTCTGAGACATATAGCAAATCATGTTTAACATGAGAAAGGGGGGGGAAATAAACCCAAACCCATAAAGGAGAAAAACTGCAGTTCCTGGTAGTTTAGGTTTTCTCTGTGCCTTTCCATGTGTACATCAAACTTTAGTTTTCAAAAAAAGCTGAGAAGGTTTTCTATGGGGAGTGGGTCGCTGGGTTTTTTGGAGGGGGAGGGAAGGGGAGAGTTTGTACTGCAGCTTAAAACTTGTGGCCAGGCATCTCATCCACAAAATCCTTTAGTCCTATGGAATTTCTAAAAGCTGGGTCCCTACGTATATTGTTATTGCCTCTCTGCTTAGTGTTTTTCATTTTAATAGGTAAGATACGTAGTAGTACAATAAAAGTGAAAAAGAACTGGTCCTCCTTTGCCATTTGTTGTTGATTGAATCTTTGGGAAACAGACTTGAAATGCTAACTGAGTCCTTATTCGAGTGGTAAAAATAAAAGTTATGATGTGAGCTTCCTTAATGTGTTCTCTTTGCCAGCTGCGTTGTCAGCTTTGGTGCCAGTGTTTGTTCTGGCTGGTGGGCACACTTCCTATATAACGTTCTGGTTCTGGTTTGGGAAGTGTGCTTAAGAAATCTGATTCCAAGTTTCAAGTTCAGGTGACTTGGCACTGTTACTTGTTTTCTTTTTTCTTTTTTAATTGCTCGACTGTGAGTATTTCATGTATCTTTTTCTTCCATAGGAAGCTGGCACAGTTTTTCTTTACGTTTTATTATATGTGAAAATCATGATTTGTTTCTATAATGCTGTATGTGCCAGTGGTTGCTTTTGTGACTTACATGAAGATAAGGTCCCTCTTCTGACACACTTGTGTTTTGCTTTTTAGACGTCCATCCAATACTGAATACATTAAATGAACGTTTTAGTAATAATTCAGCATTGCCAAGTGCCGTGGAAGAGATGCAGCATATTGACAGGAAAAAGGGATCTGATTTTGCAGTATGTTCACTTAATAAGTATGGCATGCAGATGGTATTTATTTATTTTTTTACCACAAGCCCTTCCCATGCAGCGACGCTCGCACTGCACGCAGTATGTGGCAGGGATACTTGCGTGTAGGAGGAAGGCGCTGTGGGGCTGCGGGGCAGGTGATGACCAGAAATGGGCTCCTGCCAGTGGAATAATCCATGTGGCTTGGAAATAGCCAACAAGCTGGATGAATTCTGCGGGGAGCTGTGGCTGATAGACCACTCTGCAGATACGCAGAGTCTCTTGGGCAGTCACTGGGTGGGTTTTGATTATAGCACTGATTCGCCGTTGGGTGGGAGAATAAAAATCCTTCTTCCACCTAAGCGGGAAGGATCCATGTCTAAGAAGAAAGTCACATCTCTTGGGCACATAGAAACCATTGGGAGGGCGATGAGCTGTGTCCTGAGAAGGGTTAGTTCATGTTGGAACACCCATCGGATGGCCCGTGCAAAGCAGCTGCTGCAGACGCAGTTAAGAGCACCGTGTCCACTCTTTCATTTCTGAACAAAGGAAGGCGGTTTCTAACTTTTAAGGAAGGCTTTAAGCCTTTTATTAAAACTTTTCAAGATGAGAATAAATAATACAAGGAAGTGAAGTAATAGTAATAGACTGAGGACTTTATTAATGTACCTCTGGCATGTATATTGATGTAGTGGAAACAAGAGGCTTATACTTACAAAGAGACTCTAGGAACAGTTACTTTAATTCATTTATTAAATGAAAATCACATTAAGCTTTTGTGTGGATGTTTTTACTTAGCGTTAACATGGGCTTGATTTATTTTAGCTTGAATATTCAGTTTTGGATGAATCGAAGGCCAACTTACTGTGGATAGTGTCCAGCCAAAAATTTAGTGCCGTTTACTAATTCATGTTAGGTAATTTAGAGTAGTTTTTCAGACTGCATCTGTGTAGATATGCTCCCAAAACTAGGCATCATATTTTTCCTG